ACACATATCAATAGATAACACTTACCGAAAAGCATAAATCGTCCGGATGATCAGTGAAGTAATCATAAAGAGCAATCGCGTGTGGTTCTTCCTCATCGTCGACGTTGGCAAGTTGATTAGGCACAAAATCGGGGATATCAGTGGTCCAGGAACTCGTCAAGTCTTCGTCAAGTACTGCTGGCGGCGGAGGTGGCGGTATCGTCGGCATGGGCGGCGACATTTCCCTTTCCGGAGATCCTTCCTCATCATCCCAGCTTAACTGCTTTGACTCCTGCGGAAACCACAAACATAAATACATAATATGTATAAATATTATAACGTGTGAGAAACAATTCTCAACACTAATTTTAACGCTTCTCGGTATGGAGTGTATAAAATGGCTGAAGGTTATCGCTATTATAGTTTGCAAATACAAACGCCGAGATATTTTGAGACTAGGTTTTTTTTAGGATCACAAGTATTTAATTAGCGAGTATTTCATACCATTTTCCGCGTCTAAAACATCTATATTTGCAGAATTTGCGGAACGTAGAGCGCATCAAAGTCGTCTTAGTTATTCTAGCTGAGTCATTGTTATATGAGTACCTACTGTGTGTTTTCAATCCGGTTGTAAATAAGTTGCTAATAGAAAATTTGTGATATTATTATGTTTTTGCTGATCTCTAAAGTCAAACATTTTGTTTTGTAATCACAATAACACCGTGTAATGACGTTTCTCTATGATCATCATTGCATAATGTTTATAGTACACATTTCTAGAATTAGAAATAGAAACGATAACCTATAATACTACACGTAATGAAGTAATTGATCTCCATGTTATTCCAGATAACATTTGCTACAAGGAATAATAAAGTTTCGAGAAAACTAATGCAAACGTTTGCACCCTATCTTTTATCAAAATTGTGGCGTATATCAGCGATATCAGTTTTTGATTCGTTGCTGCTGATAGGTCAGGCATAAAGCCATACCTACATGATGGGTAAGTACCATAATATTGACTACCGGGAAATTAAAGTTGCAAGAGATAATTTGTATTAGTGTTATGGTTACATAAATGATGACGCATACAATTATATTATAACTAGCACATATGCGGATGGCATCCTTAAACGGTCAGTCTAGACTCCTACGAGAAATGCAACAAATTCATATTACGCTTATAGTTCATAAAAGGTGATTACAGTGTCTTATGATACACAAATATGAGATGTACTACCACCTAAGTTACCGACCACCGCAATCATTAATTTTTCACTTTGATCAATAATAATATCTAATGGCGTTATAATCTGCCCTAAAAATGAACTCTGTGTATCTCACAAAAGGTCTGTCCGTTTATTTACTCACTCATATTTTACTTCAAATGAAAACTGATACAATAATCTGATCGAGATCTGTATAAATAAATGACTTTGAAGTCCAAGATAATGAAAGGTATAATTTGGACGAAACGCAATCTGATATGACGGACGCTCCTTACTTATTTTTATATCGTTTGAATGAAAACTCGCAATTAAACAAAGAGCTCACGGACATTGCAATAATTATCATGTAAAAAAGCACCTTAATTAATGGTACGGTCATGAACGCAAATAGCATGAATGCCTAGCGCACATTGTGGTCTGTAGAGATGCGACACATCCTGTTATTATACACTAAATTATTAGAATGCTTTTCTCGTTATACAAATAAAGCACTGTAAAAAGTCAATCGATATGATAACCAACAGGTGTCTGCCTACTCTACAAGGTTCCTTGATAAATGATAATTGATGACTAATAACAAAAGTATCGTTGATTAATCACTTTTTTTGATAAGAAACTGTTAATTCATGACTCTGACTGGTTCGAAAAATAGCCCATTGAAGGTGAAGAATATTTATTTAGGTATTTCCCCAATCAAAATGAAAAAACTAAACTGGCAAACAACTAAAACTTGGCTTTTAAAGTACCTAAGCTAAGTCGAGGAATTAACGCTAGTCATTTACAACAATTACAACATTAAAGAGAAATCAAGAGTAGGCAAATGTACTTACGAAACTGTCACCGAATCCGTTGGAGACCTTTTGTATGGGCGTGGTAGTGTTCACCGTCATGGTGGTAACAGGGAAACTATTTCCAAATGTATTCTTCAATAACGCCGAGTTGTCCGGAGGCTTCGGCCTGGCCGGCTTCGCACGGATTATCGTCGGACCTTTCAGTACGGGAGCAGCCGATATGTGGCTCGTAAAATTACTTGATACTTCATAAACATTTTCCTTACTTAAAATAGGTTTCTTCTTCAAAGGAGGTTTGTTCATTATTGGTTGGGGTGAGAATGGGTCAATAGAAGTAAAATCATCCATAGTGTCCTCCTTACCCACAGGCTTCCTTGAATGTAGGAAAAGATCAAAATCATCTTCAAAACCACTCTCAGCTTGTGAGGCATTTCCACCATTGTGGGCATTGTGATGATTGGTGGATGTAGTAGCATCTGAACCAAAGCTGTCCACACTAAGACCATCACTGCTCGATCTGGTGGTGAATGTAGGAGAGCTGGGAGGCGATGAGAGATCTATCAAAGCACCTGTCTGCACATTCTTTGGCTCACATTTAGGAAACATTTTAAGAGTGTCCACTTCACTGTTCACATCTTTTATTATACTTGGCTGGGTTACATTCACATTTTGATTATTCACTACTGTTTTAGGTTTACGAGTTAATAGGGAAGAGAGTACTGTTGGCTTTCTTATAAAGTGTGAGGGTTTTGCTGGAATATCAGGTTGCTTGGCAACCTTGGGTGGTGGAGGACGAGGTGGAGGTTTCTTTTTCTGTGTGAAATGTGGTGAGGGCTCAAAGACATCTGCACCAAAGGGGTCATTGTCCCAGTTTGTAACTGGAGAATATCTGTTTACACCCATACCAGGTACACTGGGCGCTGGCCGTGTTGGGCCCTTCATATCTGTGGACAAATATCTTAGTTTACCACACAACACATCTATTTAGATTATTTTAATGTTTGCTTATTGAACAGGTTTGATAGTGTTCATATTTTGAATAAATTTTATGTCTATTCATTAGTAAAGCAATAGAATCAATAATAATAAAACTCTATGGCAAAGTACCTTCACAATAATATTAATAATTCTACTATAAATAATTCATAAAACTTTAGCCTTGATTCAAAGTTAACCGTTTTGGTATTTCATAATTAGAATTTTAATTGAATATAACTACCTAGACCTGAATTTACCAGATTCTTCTGAATAACTGAAAACTGAAGACTGTTTAAAAAAAAAATCTGTTACATGTCTAATTAAACTTGTAAATGTCCATGTGTTTTTCTAAATATAATTGTAAGTTGTGCGTCTTACAGGCTTGCAGATGATTTAAATGACAACATAAAATGCTTATTAACTTTGTGGTATTTCCATATTATACATACAATAACAAAAAGTTCTCACAAAACAAGTTTTGAAGATTCTAGTAAGAAATTAATGACTCATAGATTTAACAACTCACTAACACACTTAGCAAACTGTAAAAAAACGGTAGAAGTTGAACATAAACTCACTTAGTAAATCTTATAGAACACTTGTCTTACACCAGAATGCAAAACATCACTGTCTACTGTAAAGTCCTGACTGTGATACTGTGTTAAATCGTAGATTAGAACTCGAATGCGGCGAGGCGAGGACAAAGATCGCAATAAACTGCGTACAGCTCGAGCTGTAACAATTGTTTGACAGAATTACCGCGCAACGAGCCGCTACTCAAGCCGCGATAAAAATATTATGATATCGAGATCCACCCACTGAACACTAATGCACACTACTCCGCAGTGCTTCCAACTCTGAACTCAGTATCGCGTGCCAGGTACGAGACAGCACGGACCACGGCCTTGATAAAGTTCGACGTAATCGCGTCAAAGGATTAATTACTAACATGTTACTCTCGTGCAACAGATGTGATTCTGACTACATTAATAATGGAAAACCATTAATACGCACCTTTAAATAAATCCATAGAAGCCACGGCCAATGCTGCAATGCAGGCATAAAACAACAATGATAATTTTTGTTTGACGTCGTTATTTTGAGACAATAACAAAACACATTACAGTTCCATGACGGAGAATTGCTAATTTAGGTAATTTTTATTGAATTATAGAAAATTAAACATAAACGCTAAAGAAATTCTTTTATCACATTTGATTTTGTGTTCGTTTCCGTTCAATTTTAATTATATTCTTGACCCCACGAAACAGATTGAGAAAATGTTACGCTAATAAATTCTGCATCCCTTTCAAACTTGTATAATTTGCAGATCTTCTATCCTGCTCACGGCTGTCAGCTGTCATTGTCATTGAAACCAACCAAATTGACGACGTTTGCGTAGTAATGACAGTTAGGCCAGGTAGTGAAGTACCGACTGTCATTTAACAGATATTCTGTGTCTGTATTCTGTAACTGTTCATTGAATTTAATAATAAGGAATCGATTCATATTTGACTATGCTTTAAGAGCATTCGTACAATAATAGTGTGGTATGTTTGTATGTACTCAATACTTTCCGCAAATATTTAATAAATAATTTCGTAATTCTAAAAAAAATATTACTTGCTATTTTAAAACGAATGATATTTATGTGAGCATTAGTGATAATAAATGTATAATGATATGTTATATAAAAAATTAGAATATATTAAATAATCAATTAAAATTAAAATTATAGTTTCCGTACATACAAATAGTGGGGCAACTTTTTTTAATCAAAGACAATGATTTGCCTAATGATTTATTTTTATTATTATTTTTTTAAGGTGTACATATTTTAGTTTTATTTTTTTTTTTATAATTTATGTTGTAAATTAAAAGTCGCAAAGTAGTGTTCAAACTAAAAATAATGAAATGTTGATATATCAAAGACAATATACCGTCTTGTCTACGGTCCTATCTATGATTTTAATTACATTGACTACATGTCAATGTCATGAATGTCATAATGATTTTATTTTGTCAATATCTGTGATAAAATGTAATGTCTTGATCAATTTGAAAAATAATTAGATTTTAATTAAATACTGAAGTAAATAATCATGTTCAGAAGATTGTGATATAAAGAAGAAGTACAATGACGACTGACAATATTTTGCAATTGCCTATTGATATCTTAGTAAATATATTTAAGCTATTAAATATAAAGGATCTTCATAATGTAATGTTAACTTGTAAGCTTTTAAAAGATCTAATAAAAAATGATAATACAATATGGAGGCATCTCTCGCGAGATAAGTTAATTATTGGTTATTCAGATAAAAGGTACTTGCTGTGATTTTTTAAAAGACTTCAGCAAACAGAATAACTCTCTTTTAGTGGTAGCGAGCTGTGCTAGATGTATCATTAGATCATAATTATTTAGGCCTATATTAATGATTATTTCAGACGACCAATTGAATTATGGTACAATCGGTGCAGAACATCGCAAAACTGGTGCAATGGGTATTATAGAATTAAGGTAAAGACAATACAAATGTACCTTAGATATAAACTATTTATCGGCATTATTCTTACATAATACTAAAATTTAGGGTTATCAAAAATAATCTTAATTTTCCAGCTGGTTATTAAGCACTACACAAACTATATGCCATGGCTAACATTCCACAATTCTGAAATCTTACTTGTATCAGTTGGTTCTGAACTTCACTGCTACCCTACCAATAGAAAAGGTACACCAAACTGTAGAGAAGCTCTATGGAAGGTTGAAGTTCCTAAAATACCAAGGCATGATGTGAGAACCAATGACATCTCCAGGTTTATCATAAAGAATGATATTATTGCTTGTGGAAATAGGTATGTTGTACTTTATTTTGTGACAAAATATACTGATTAGTGATTACTTTATTATTCATAACAGAGAGTGTACACAACTGTTATGAATAAAAAAATTGTAAGAAGTGGGTAAATGTATATAAACATGGTGTGATGTCATTTCTTTTTTATGTTTTCTTATTTAAACTGTCAAACACCAAGCGGTCACCGGTGACCGCAACCTATTGTTCTATAATTGTGTCTATAATGACAGTACTCGGCGAGTTAAGAATATAAAAAAATATAATAAAGTATAGGATTGAAATACGAATCATAATAAAGATTATCTGCAGAGTTAAAAAAAATTACCCATAACTACAAAATCTATAAGAATTATTTATTATATTTATCTATTACATTACAAGAATCTGATAAGAATTTTACCATCACCTTGTTTTAGAGATGGCTGTTTGGCAGTGTATAAACTTAATAACACAAGAAAGAGGCCATGTTTACAATATCATGTACAAGATTGTCATAAAAGGGGTGCAGTGGAGGTAACAGCTGTTGAAGTACTTGATGGAAGAAATCAAACAATAGTTGTTACCGGCTCTAGTAATAGTTCAGAATTACAATTTTTTGGCCTAAAGAAAGAAAGTGATAATATTACTTATATTTGCAAAGGCAATGATAAGAGTAAGTACTCATATTTACTTAAAATATGTAATGCCACAGATTATTTATTATCATCATCATTTATCATTATGACTTTGTTTCATTCTTTTTTTAATATACCGGAGTTGGTTGTTACCTTTATATGCATACACCTGAACATCTATCTATGTACTAACAATATTAACTTGATATTGGTTTTTTCATTGTCATATAATTAAACTGTCAAACACCAAGCGGTCACCGGTGACCGCAACCTATTGTTCTATAATTGTGTCTACAAAACCGGTACTCGACGAGTTAATTTACTAAACTGTCTGTCAAATAACTGTCCATTCAAATATTTTCAGAACTACTTACAATAATATTATCTTTACTGCTCCTATTTTGTACTGTGTTTGCATCAGAGTACTAACAAATTGTTGAAGCTTTTAAAAAAAGAAGTAAAAAACGACATAGTACTAATCTAGTTTCTATTCTCCATTTCAGATTTATTTAATATCTCTATGTATGAAACTGCTGGCACAAAATGTATGGCTCTTAATAGTTCATCTGACAAATTAGCTATAGGTCTCACTGGCAACAGTAGACCTATTTTGCTTGATGTGAATAAGTAGGTAATTTTTCTTTATAAACATTACATATTTATTTATCTCAATTGTACATTTCTAGTACCACAATATTATGATATCTCAAAAATCGGTTTATTTACAACTGAATAGGTCAAATTCTGCTCTAAAATATTTTGCTAATTGATGATGATGATGTTAAATAAATTAGCTCATAGTAATACCAGCAAAGAATGGTACTAAAATAAAAAAATATATATTTTAAGGTATGCCATAAAATATAGCAATATGTGTTATTATTATTATTTCAGCCCCAGAGTTCTGATGGCGGCAGATACAACAAAGAATCGCAAGGAAGCAGTGCGTGACATCCAATGGCATAATGACAACACATTATTATATGTCACTCATGCGGGGCACCTGCAATTATTAGACATAAGGTCTCATGAAATGGTATAGTATTTTAATTTTTATATGTTTATAGAATATGGGCTAAAAAGGCAGAGGTCGTCTAATGATAAGCGATCGGCGCCGCTCATGGACCTATTACTAACTACCTTTGTTTCCTTGGAAGAATTTATTGTGCCAGCTCAGTCTAGTTTTTACACAGAATTCAATTAAAAATCAGTACTAAAGGCTGTGCATTCAGATGTAACAATTAAAGTTTGGTCTACAGGTGTACCATTCGTGGGATCCAAAGAGTATAGTAATATATAGGGTAAAGAGAGCCCTCTCTGGGCAATTTAAAGCAAACCTCTTTGAACGCCAGCGACATCTGAACATTGGCCCTGGAAACTATGCCCGGCTTACAACTTGAATACTACCTACTTATTAGTTTATTAATTTGAAAGTATATTATGTTCTAGCAGCTACATTGCTACAACATAATATACTTACAAATTAACAAACTAATTTTGCCCTAATATTTAACAGATTTACTAAAAACTTAAGGAGTAATAATTAAAACAATAGGGTGGAAAAATAAAACAATGCTTAAAAATTAATTAGCAATTATTTTTTATTTTTATAGTGCTTGTGTTTTTTATAATATTCTTGCGCAGCAATCTTAAATTCGTCATCACCATTATACGACAATTTTCCCGACAAAATTCGATTAACCGATCTACACCAGCTGTATAAAATAACATTTATTGTGGTGTTCATAAAGTATTTTTTTAATTCTTCTTTATGCTTCATGCAGTTAAATGGAAAATTAACCATTACATCTGCTACTAATATAATATTCTGTTTAATTTTCTTTTCTGGTACACTTTTTTTTAAAAATGAGACTATTATTTTTTGTAGGTCATGAAAAGTATTTTCTAGTTCTTCACTAGGATAGCATAACCATTTTTTATTGTTATATTCTTTAGCTTTTATAAAAGCACTTCTATTTTCTTCCTTATCGATTAGGTTTTGCCTACACCTTTTACAAGATCTTACAATATTTTTTAGACATTTCGTCAAGACCCAGCCACAGACATAATTTCTCTGACCTGCATCAGTTTCTTTATCAGTCCTTAAAATGTCTTCATTCAGTTCTATATTATAGTTACTTTCTAAAGAGGGAACATCAGAAATATTCACTTTTTCTGTGAAGAAGAACTCAAGAGTTTGGAGACACTTGTTTGAGTCTTCTTCACAATTTGCTCTCTCTGAATGAGGTGACTTATAATTATTTAATAATAACGCTTTGTATGCGCCTTCAAACGATTTGGTGTTCGGAGAATTGTTTCTTGCACCATAACTTCTGATGTTCCCAAAAAAGTTTTCTACTGGGTCCTGATTAAAGTTTCTTGTTAAAAGGCAATCAAAACCATATCTTCGGGAAACAATATGCCAAATAGTTTCCATGCCTTCAATACTTTTAATTAAATTAGTAACAGATGGAATATTCGTTTCGATTAATCGAGTTTTGTCTCCAACGGTTTTATTGTATTTAAATTTTACAGTTTTTAAAATTTTTTTAGCTTGCCTCCATAAGTCATGATGGGGCGAGTGCCTTTTAATAGGCCCTTTGAATATTTTTCCATTAGGAATGAAAAAACTGCTAACATTCAAAGAATCAAATAAGTTGTCCAACAACAAAGTAATTTCTATTAATTGTTTACATTCGTAAGGTAAATCGCCTCTGGCTGTTAAATGTTCCGTAGCCACAGCGACGCTGTGGCTAAATAATTGCGTTGCCGATTTCACTCTCATTTTATTGATTTTTTCAGGGTTTACATGTTCTTCTCTGAAAGTAAGAAATGAGGTGTTGAGAAATCTATATTAACAATGTAACATTACACAATTTTAAACCAAGCATACGAATCATCAATATCACTTCTCATCTAATATAAAGCTATCTTAAAAGGTATAATAATGTTTTAATGCATAAAAATAACCGTTAACTTTAGAGGATAGAGGTAGGTGTGGTCAAATCAGTTGCAATTCAGCTATTCTAACTCGTCTTTACTGGAATACATCAAGTTACAAGTCGCATTCCATTAAGAAGTTAGGCAGTCTCATTAGGTTGTCGTGTAAAATTTCTTTAGTAGTAGAATAGTTTGTGCTTAATAGATAATTATAGGTTCTCATCCTATATCAAGTTAAATGTGAGTTTAATACACTCATTACCCTTTGGGTACTACAGAAGTGATGGTATTTTTGTAGTAAACCCATGAAGTTGACAAGTACTTAAAAATAAAGAATATTCTATATATATATCTTAACTTTGTCATCTAACAACTAGATAAGTTAAAAGGCATTATGTACTTACCACTAGGAGCACAACCTAAAGCACAACGCCTCGGCATTTTAAAATAGTTCATAAAATACACAAATCTCACAATATTCACAAAAAGTGTCTCTATCACCAAAATATGAAAAATTTTCGAAGTAAACTCACAACAGAAAGGCGGAGGAATACAAGACTCGACTCAACGCACTAACTACTGGATATTTAACAACCGAAAAAATATAAAATGGACAGAGGACTACAAACATGCGCACTCGCAAGAAGTAACCGCCATTTTGTGACATTGTTGACAACATTATGTTTACTAGTTGATTTTGACATTAAGGAAAGAGTGTTACCCGATAATGTACTCGAATTGCATTTGTTCGGAATTAATTAATCATAAAATATTTTTTCAACGCTTTAATAAGAACGATAATATCGAATTTATATAAAAATATAACTATCTTATGAAAACTATTACTTATTATTAAAGTAACCGATACTATATGCATATTTATAATTTCCATTTTAGTTTCATTTTGCCTAGCTTACGATGTTTTTTTATTACATACCACACTGAAAGAGAGTTTTAGCTGTTTTTATCCTATTGTATAAAATACCATAATACGTATTTAAATATATTTAATATTAACTTCAAAAAGGTGTTAAATATTAGTTAATAATTTTCAATAAAACAAATTGATGTAAAATATTTAATAAAAAAAAAAGTATTATTAATGATAAATTATGACGCAGCGACATCTTGAATAAAATAGAGAACTAATCTGGGAATTATTTCCGGGCCATGTGATAGATGGCATCACCATCTTTGCGAAATGTCACTTCAAGGCGTCTGTCTCCCCCCTGGTGGGATCCTTTTCGAGCAGCGTTTTATTGCGTCAAATCAGATGGACAATGTGCAATGGTGGCAGGATCGGCTGAATATTCGCGTTGCGTTTTATTCGATACGCGCAAACAAATACATCACGTGCAGGTTAATAATCATCATTTTGCCTTACAATTTCAGAGTATTATTGTACTTTGTTTGTAATATTTTTATTTATTTTTCAGATGTTTTTTACACAAAAGAAAGCCTCTCCCGTGTATAGTTTAGATTTCGACCCTTACCAACTTATAACAGCAATAGATAGAGGAGTTTCAGTTTTAGACTTCAACATAAATACTACTTTTGAAGAACCAAAAGATTATTCCCAGGTTTTCCACTGACAGTACTTTATTAGTAATATATTGTACATAATATGATAAACTACTTTGTTTTATTGATATATTACTATTATATTATTTATTTTATTGGTATACTTACGAATACGTTCACGACGGGATGCCGTCAGTTCTGCATTATGATGTCATATCCGAACCCGGGAAAATAGCGCAAAACAAAATTTCATACAAACTTTCATCTCCTATTTTACCCCTTGGGGGTAGAATTGATGAAAATGCTTTCTTACGAGGTGCTTGCATCATAACATCTATCTAATTCAAAGTACACAGTACCAGATCACGGTATATAACGGCTATTCAAACATTGTGAAACACTCTTCTCTTAGCCACTTTTTTATGGGAGGATCGTACGGAAGGAAAGGACATGGAAGGCATACGAATATACGGATCTCCTGATAGTAATCGATCAACCCTATTCATAGACTTACAATAAGCAGAGGCCTTAGTACGAGTTTGATTTACGTCTATAGTATTCGAAATGAGTACGCGTTCGGCGCACTAATGAGCTGGCGCCAATGAACCATCAGGGAGGGAGATGACTATTACCCGCTATTCTGGTAGAGAATAGAGAATATCAATTGCCTTAATAAAAAATATTACTCTCCCTTCAACTTTTCAATTTTTAAAACTATATTTTTATAGATTCTGAATACCTAGTTTCGAGATTTTATAAATCTCATAGGATTCTCACACATTTCCGGTAACACATACATAAAAACTATAGTAAAAATGGATATTTATACTTACAGTATTTAAAAATACTGACTGTATAACCCAAAAACCCGCTTATCTCTATGTAGGTACCTACCTAATAATGTCCTTAATGAGGCTTATTGACTTTAGTCCGGCCCCGTTCAAGCTATAAATTGCGCATAAGTGTATTTGTCTCACAAATTTTAGGTACCCAATGTTGGGTCTACTTAACTATTTTAAGTCTGTGGCAATGTTACAGCGCCACCCAAGAACACACACCAGAGGGTCACAGGTTTAAACTTTCTTGAATAATGAATTCTCCTTTGTTATTTTTCTAGTATGGCAACACTTATAATGTCAACTTGACAATAGAAAGAATAGAATAGATCCAAAACTAAAATTTATCTGTCAAAAAAGTAAAACCAAAACACAAAATATTAACCTAAAAGTAAAAAAAAATAATTTATTGTGTCTGTGTATTTTTCTTTTCAATAAAAACGTAAAATGAAGTAAAAATTTCTAATAAAATTTTGTCAGACTATCTTGCCTATCCCACTAACACAATGTTTAGATACCGATTATTTACTCTTTTGAAAACTGCTTGCCAAGTTCAACGTAGAATTACTGTCCCAAAAATTCGAAATTATACCCCAGTGACTTTGGGACTGTTAACTACAGCTTATTGTAACGATAAGCAAAAGGAATTGGAAGTTATGTGGGATGCAGATAGTCTGGAACATGACTTTTTAATTCGCCAAGCTACGACTATCAATGTTAATGCAGCTACGCAACTTCTTACTGTTACATTAGTCGCTATCCAAGATACAAGTGAAAGGTAAATAGGTATTCAGTAATCCCAATAATGTTATTTTTGTGATTATTAGTGAAAGATTATTAAATTATTGCATCATAATTTTATTTATACATTTTATACATACAACTTCATAACTTACATTAATACATCATTCAGATTACTACACAGAATATATTATATAAATTTTAAAAATGTCTCAGACTGCGTGAGGCGCTGACAAGGGAGATCTGTTTAGTAAAACAAGCCCTAGAGTGGGGTGAAGATGGCACTCCACCTCATCATTGGGACCAACTAGTGGCTGTCAGAGGGTCACTGTGTGATTTGAGGCATAATCTCCACACTTTGTTTAGTAAGTATCATTTATATTTATAGACAAACATTCATCTCGGATTCTATTACATTGAGATATTATGAATTTTTAAATTCATCAAGAGTTATTTTAAAGACAGTAATGCTAATCATTTCAATCTCAAACTATCAGGTTATATGGATTATGCAGAAAAGTTAGCAACAGTAGCTGCAGAGATATCATATTTATCAGGAAACATTGTCGCTTCAGATGCCATTTGTGAAAGAATCGATCATGCATGCAGGTAAAAACAAAAAAGTATACATAGAAAAAAATGAGTTTATTATAGCAAGTTATGTTTTTTATGAGATATTTTACAATTTTTAGTTTTAAGTGCTTTAAATTAACAGATTGCATTTATTATTTACTTTAATATATTTGATACTTCATATGCACATTAATATGTAAAACAACAATAGTCACTTCTTTTGACTTCTAACTTTGTAATAATGATAAAAGTAACAAAACTTTATAAAACAAAAAATACTCTTATGCTTAATTGATATTCAGTGTATATACATAATAGTGGCAGTAGTGTAAATGTTGCAGGTCGTGCAACATGCAGAAACAGCTGACGCATGAACTGCAGCAGGAAAGTCTGGAACTGCAGCAACAAGCCATCCTCAGTGCTCCTCAGCTGGAGGAGAAGTTGAAACATGATGTTACAAGTGCAAAAAGCAAATTAAAGACTTAATTTTAATGTTAGATAATTTTAAAATCTACTTATGTTAAGGTCAAGATAGGTCTCAAATAAGGTAAACACAAGGATTTTGTATATACTAAATTCAAATTTTAAAGTGATTACAGTTTGCACCTGTGTTTTCATTTACTTAAACTTAGTATTTGTTAACTCGTTGAGTACCATCATTATAGACACAATTATAGAACAATAGGTTGCGGTCACCGGTGACTGCTTGGTGTTGACAGTTTAATTGTTAAATTGTAGTAGAACTTATTCATTAAATAAGTAATGACATTACTATATAGGAAATCTACTAGTAAAATTTTAGTTTACTATTAACATGTTAAATGCCATGGGGGTCATCGGTGACCGACGTTAGCGGAGGATTTACCTTCGACAGTTTTTTATTGGCAGTCAAAGGCTTAAATATATGTACTGCATAAAAAAAACGAAACTTATAAAGTGCATGTCTTAGTTTTATTTTGTAATTTTGTAAACATTAATCATATAAGCTAAAAGCATTCGAAATTTGCTATAATAATGCCCAAAAGTATCCCACAGAATATTCTAATAAACTTATGAGGATTCATATGGCTGTAGATAGAATATTGGAGTACATATTGTACTTAGTGGTGACTTACCTTGTAGTTTAAAAAGTGGCATCTTTATTGAGATGGGTCTCAATATCCACCCGGCATATAGGACAATGCTTGTTCGTACTCAGCCATTGGTCCACGCATTCCATATGGAAAAGGTGCATACATGGCAAGCGCCTGAAATAATGCGACAGTTTTGTCTAATATCGTAATGGAAACAAACGATGATATTATGTAAGCTGAAGTGCAACAATATACCTGCAATCTGAGTCCACCTCGAATATCGAAAGGCAGATCGTACATTTCTCGTCCTGGTGGCTGGGCGCCGGCCTGTACGCGTGTCGGTACGTATTGCTCTCTATGACCGCGCTCGAAGCCCCACGCCCACGCCACGCTCGACTCTCTGCCTCCTCCGCTTCCGCCGCATACACCATCGCCGCCATAGTCGCCGTCCCCTAACACACATCACACATTTACTTTACTAACACCAGGCTAATACTCAAAACTAAGAGTATTGACATTAAGTAAACTGTAATAAGTATTACGCATACAATGTATCTCACCATGAAAGAAGGCTGGATGGATATGTGTAGATGGGGCGGCGAAGGGTGCATCTGCATATAATGATGCATATGGTGGTGGATATGTTGCCTGTCACTGGAAAAAATACAGATTCCATGAGACAAGTTCTATATACAGCGGCAGTCGTTATTTCACTTATAAAATGAAGAATTCCAAGGTGTAGCAGACAAATACTTGTGATAATTACATCGAAAATGTTCTCGCAAACGGAATGCTCGTAGAGTACGATCGTAGAGTAGTTAGTTGTAAGACGAAGCGATTGTAACATTTAGCAGAGTAATTGGTAGTAATCTACACTTCGCCTACGACAGTATAAAGGCTCGTGATACCTCGACGTAGTGACGGGTCTTTGCCCGCGAATGGCTGCAATCACCCGGCTCGTCAGTCGCCGCCGCCTAGAAGCGAATACACTTGTTCTCGCCGCGCGGTTTATGGTCAACAGGATATTATAGACAGTAGGTACGAGTATATCGATATTTAGGTACAAATTAACACCGGCATAAACGAGTCTTGATAATTCGTCTTAAAGCGACCATGGAATTACAAGGTCACCATGTTCACCACCAAAATATCAATAAGGCAAGTAACAGACAGAAATTCTGAAGACAATATTAGATGTTGACGATTGAAATAATTTGGTTTGTAAGTCAATTCAACAATATTTGAACTTGTAACTACTTACAGCATCATCGGGGGTGGTGGCGGAGGCGGTATCGGCATATCACGTTCCAATTCGTCCGGGAACTGTAATGAGACGAGTTAAATAAAAGCTTGTCTAATCAAACTTCACTGTGTAGCTTGAGTAGACGATAACATCTTTCGGCATCAGTTTGAACTCCTGCTTCATTCACTATGCTAACAGATTTATACACAAAAAGTGACTTTTTATAACGAAAACAGTTTCAAAAATTAAATGTAAAAAAATAAAAAAAGAATATACAGCGAGCACTGTGGTTGGCGGGAGCGGCGCGTGCGGGAAGTGGGCGAAGGTTTGTCCGAATGCATCGCCCATCATACTGCGACGTTGCAGCTCCTGGGAATATACAGATGCCAATATAAATAAAAGCTGTCGTAACATTATATCCATATTACCTCAATTTACCTGCAATAATTTATGCATTTATGTATTTTCAATATTATGTATTGCCTCAAAATTTTATAATTTATTAATTTATTAGAACAGGTTGTGTAGAAAGTAATTATCAGACACATATTGACATTTGTTTGCTGCTATTAATATCGAAAATATATAAGGTGCTATATAATTATCTGCCACGGCTTTCATGGGAGGTAGTGTTATGTTTACAAATTACAATAGTGAAGAAATTTCGTACCCGGGACCAGCTAATTCAATTTGAGAAGATATACAAATTAAGTAAACATTGTCTCTACTCTGCATAATGTGGTTCACAAATTACGCGCGATACGTCATTTGTCAATGAAAACAATTACTATCTCTTTCCACGTGTACTGAGAATGAAAACGGAAATCTCTGGATACTAGATACTCAATATGCAGGCTAACAAGTATTTTAAGTAATTGCACTTACGGGTACGGCATTCTTCCAAAAAATTGATGTAGGTAAATAAGATGATAAACTTCCCATCACAATTAAAACAGTTTTTTACACACTTCTACAGTACACACTCCCCCCTACCTACTTATCTTCTTCCAGTTCGGCCGAAAATGAGGCCTGCCTGCCGGGTCAAAGCGGCCGCGTTCTCGGAATCGGTACACTGCATCCAGGATGGTATGATGACTCACTCGCACATCGAACCTCTGGTAAAAATTAACCGCATGTGCAGTTATGAAGGTAGACCCACGGTAGCACTACACCATTTCAAAATATTGTTGATTTGAATTTTGTCGCCTGGGAGGCATTTTAACGTAGCGCGCGTATTCCCGATACTGGGGGTTGACTGGGCTACTGGCGGGCGAGCGGCGCGTGCGACGAGTTCTGTTCTGGGGTGTGCGTGCTGTCTCGTTCTCGAACGCCCCGTCTTACACTGTTGCCATTCTTCTTTCTCTACTTCTTTTAATCTGCCATTATCTCGATAAGAATGGCAACAGTGTATGAAGGGGCGGCTCCCGCGTTTTGCGAATTGAATGAATTCGATGTAGTGCGGCATCACGGGATGGTTTTATGCCAATAAATCAATCAAATTAATACGTAGATTTTTTTGTATGAAAAAATAAATGACTTATAATCAATAATTTATACCTACTATTATAATCTTCAAACACAACACTACATCCCATTAAAGCCGTGTCAGATCATTATATAGCACCTTATATATTGTACTAGCTACTTCCGCGCGGTTTCACCCGCTCTGCTCAGCTCCATAGATCATAGCGTGATGTTTTATAGCCTATGGTTTTATTCGATACATAGACTATCCAACACAAAAATAATTATTCAAATCGGACCAAAAGTTCCTAACATTAGCGCGTTCAGACAAACAAACTCATTAGCTTTACATAATGGTATCTACACTAATATTATAAAGGGGAAAGATTTGAATATTTTGTTTGTTTTTTTGAATTAAATAGATCACAATCTCGTATGGGGGTCAGATCAATTCCAACATTTTTGTTGAACCAAGGGATAGACGGCAATGAACGGTTATTGTTCGGAATTCCAGGACTTTCTATCGTTTAAATCACTGAACTTATTTAAGTAAAATTCAGTACAACAATAATTTTAGGGCGGAGAATGGACGTATGATAGAGTTTTATCACGGAAATCTCACGGGAACGGGAACTATGCATTAAAAAACCGCGACTCTCATCTTTTAAAACGCTGACTACTTACATCTCGGAACAATAACTAAAGCATGGAAGCCAGGCTAAAATAACAACTACACTCCATATATTCATCTTTTTTTTACTTATGGTATTGATAGTGTATAAGAAAGAGATATGTGTATTGTTTCGTTTCGTTATTATGCAGGTTGTCACTACTTGTAAATATGCTAGTGATGGGAATAAATTAATATATTTTATCGATAAATTATGGTACCTGAAAGTTTTGCTGCTGTGGTCTAACGTACATTAGGTTCTTAATCTGGATGTCGTGGGTTCAAAAATAAAACACAATATTAAAAAGATAATTTAATTGCTCACAAACAAAGCATATTTACAAACCGTGGTAGTGGTGCACTATTATGTGTTTATCATTGACTTTTAAATATAATTGTCTTTGTTAAAATGTATCCTAAGTTTAAAATATTTTTGTGCTATGGACTTTATAAGATTTCTGTGATCAACATAGAAAGATTGTTCTAATGAATAATCTTTTTTTTCTCGAAAATTTTCTGACGGCAACACATTTGCTGAAACTTTATTAATCAATCTAATAATTATTTTGGTTTACCGAGAGATTTTGAATCAATATGCACTTGATATTCTCTTATAATTTTTTCGGTCAGCTGACAGATCTTGGTTAAGCCATATGTTGGTTTAAATAGGCCTCTTCTACCTCTATATTTAAAGATATCAAAGATCTTTAAGGAATACTCTCCGTGTTTTCAAGACTTTCTATGCATTTTTCGCATTGTAAAGATTTTTTAATTTCTTTCCAATAAAGCCGATTATGTATTCTATGACATTTTTAGAATATTCCGTAATAGATGATGGGTACAAAATGTAGTCGTGGTCTGTCAAATCATCAAAGGTATCATGTGATTCGGGTTCTAAACGACGTCTATACTATAAAGAACTTCAAAGCCTAACTAAAATATCGATATGTAACATGACCACATCACTAGCTTAAAAACTGACTTAGAAAATTGATTTAGATTTTTTAGGAAAAGATGGAATAATACTGTTTAGGCTTACAATTGAAAAGTACGACAATAAATAAGTAACATTTATTTATAGTTTACCGGTATTTCCAATATAATTTATTTTAAAACATATCAAAAACTTACGAATGAAAGTGTATTTTTTCACCACTGTTTTCTTTTCTTCCTAAATGTGAATTGCAGCCGTCAATCACACAAGACGTATTTTTATTAAGGAAAACACATAATAAAGAACGACCATACACTTCCTTTCTTCCTTTCTTTTGCGCTAATTCCATAAAAAACATTTTTTATAATCAGGAGCCGTAAATACAACCACGGTGACACTTCAGTACTATAATCCGGCAAAGTGAGGAAGGTGTCAAACTTGAGTGAAACTGTGAAACATAGAACGTCAAAACGTGATTTTGAATTTGGTAGTATGCTGAATAAGTCCAATGACATAAGATTGTAATGAGTCCACTGAAAGTTGTGACAACCTGCAAATTATTATAGAACTATGTTTAGTTTGCGGTCTCATTCTCGCCTACGCAAAATTGTGTAAAGAGCGAGAGCATCAGATATACGTTTGTAAATTACTATTTTAGCCTGGCTTCCATGCCTAGTTATTGTTCCGAG